ATAAAATTATAAAAAATATTATAATTCTTAAAATTTTATTAATTAATTCTATTTCTATTCTCTAAGTAAATTTGTTCAATATATAAAATATATATATATAATATTGAACCTGAATATGTTCATAAACTTTGAACTGAATCTGAACTGAACCAAATTTTAAGTTCAGGTTCAGTTTAGGTTCATAAATTTTAAGTTCAGTTTAGGTTCATGTTCAATGATCTGCAAAATTTAAAGTTCAGTTCAGGTTCAATGAACTTGGTTTATGAACCTAAATTGAACTAAACTGAACCTAGGAACACTAGTTGTAAGTCTTAATAAAAGATTATAAGCCATAAACATTGCTCTTTAAACCTAAAAAAAAAAAAAACTTAATAAAAAAAGACTAAACATGTATACAACAACAGAATGCCAAATATGTTAAGATAAAGTTAAAGAAATACAAACACATTTGGCAGTATATAAAGACAAAAAACTTGTAAAAAAGAATCCAAAAAGTAATTATTGCAACAGCTTGAAAAGAGTTGAAAGAAAAAAAAAGCAAAATTCTTTTATATATATTATATACAGTACTTTTTGAAAAAACAGAAGTAGAAAAAATCAAAATAAGAAAAGCATTAATTAAAGACTTAATTCCAAAAGAAATACAGAACTAATTATGGCAGCTCCTAAATATAAAATTAAAATAGCAGTTTGTGAGTATAATAACAAGTATAATCTAAAATATATTTTATAAACAAGTATATAGAATTCAATATGAGAAGATTTGTAAATAAGAAAAAAAGTAGAAATAATAGCTAGATTAAAAAAAGAAAAAAAAAAGCTAAGACCAAGTAAGCAAAAAAACAAATCAGCAAAGAGTAAAAGAAAAGAAAGAAAAAGTAAAAGAACAAGAAAAACAAATTAGAATAGAAATACAGAAGACAATTTTGAGGCTTGTTATAAAGAGAAAAAGACCTTAATATTATAAACTTTAAGTAGTTAAACAAGCAGCTTAATTTTGTTTAAACTAATATAACAAGTTATACTTAGATATTATTAAGATAACTGAATAATGTTAGACTTAGTTGTTAAGGATATTTATATAATTATAAATATAATTTCAAAATCTTAATAAATATTTGCATAATTGCTTAAGAAAAAAATAATAGTTATTTGTATTATAACAATTATTTTTTATTAATTAGTTAAAACAAGATATTTATAACTATAGTTATATTATAACTAATAGATTATTATTATTTTTTTTTAACCTTTGGCAGCTACGATGGTCAACTAGTCAGAAGTTTATTTATAAATGTTTAGTACAGACAATATACAAATAGAACTATAACTAACTCTATATGAGCAGCAGGGGGTGCGAGCAGACTTTTTTGTATATTTTTATATCTTCTCTTTTGTAAGTTTTTTTTATCAGTCCATTAAAATTGCTACTAATTTTTTGGTGTTTTTATATGAAGCGAACATAAATCTCTCATCATTCAACTAACAAAGCAAACATAAATCTCTTATTAATTACAGCATTATTCATATAAAAACTTCTTTTTCTAACTTTGAGTGATGAAGTTATGAGAAGGTGAACTTAAAAAATAGTGACTAATTGTGTTGTGTTTTTATACTCTTCAGTCTGCAAGTTTTTAAAGCTAAAAATCATTAAAATCAGTACTAATTTTTTGGTATATTTTTATACCTTCTGTTCGCAAGTTTTTTCTGACTTCAAGCATATATGCAAGAAGGTAGGATTAAGTTTCATTCTGGCTTTGAACAGTATCGCGAGAAGGCGGAGCTGGCAAGAATAAAATTGCAAGACAAAAACTTTTTCCTCCTCTAGTTCAGAAAAAAAGAAAATTAGTTAACTATACCTATCTAAACATAAACTTGTAAGTAGACAGGATATATAAGTGAAATAAATATTTTTTATTTAAACAAAGGATCTGAATAATCAATATATAATAAAAAATACTGAAAATATGGTAGGTAAATGTCCAGGATGTGGATAGAGCTCTAAAACTGAAAAAATAAGAGATCTTAATAAGCATATGGACTTAACATGATTCAGACCATGTCAGGCTCTCTTGCAACTAATTCAAGTGCAAAATATATCTCAAACTGGAAATACTATTCAAGCTCCAGCTCTAGTAGACAATTTAGTACTAGCTTCTGAAAGTGATTTAATATCATTTGACAAAAACCTGCCAACATACCAGCCAGCCTAGCCGAGTATGCTGGCAGTTGATCTTTTAACTAGTGATATTCCAAAAGCAGATCCTGAAGCTAGTCTAGGTCCTAGAATACAAATACATAGAAAGCAAAAAAAAAAATTAGTTTTAATTATAAATAAACTAATAAAATAGTTATCAAAACCAGAAATAAAAAATAACAAAAAAATTAGATCTAAATTAGTTCCTAAAACAGATAAAGAATGGTTCGATTTAATAGAATCAAATATTAGTGAACCTAGTAATCCAGAACCTCAAGCTTATTATTTTCTAGATTTGGATATAAAAGTACCTTGGCCCATCCTATTTCCAGAAAATAAAGAGCATTATGAAGTATAGCAAAATAGTATTCAATATGCAAAAGATATGTTTAAAGTAGATGAAGCCAAATATGCATTCTCAATCTGGTTTATAGATACTAAAGAACATAAATTAGAAGCTGGAATGACTGAAGAGTGAGTCCAAGAAATTTCAAATGCAATTGATAATAGTGAGTATTTAATAAGAGTAAAATTTATTCAAGTCGATACAATAATATCAAATAAGGAAACAAAAAGAGGTTTTAAAATTATAGATAAATATGAACCTATTTGTGAGTCAAAAAGGAAAAATGGTAAATATATAAAAGGTGGCTCAAATGTTATACTTACAAAGAAAACAAAACCAAGTTTTTGGGTAAGAATAGATGAAAAATTTCTGGTTAGAGAAGTTAGTAGGCAATCTGAGGTAGAGAAACTTAATAGTAATGCAGTAATCTATGGATTGTATCGAATTCAAGTACCAGATATTAATCAATTAATGCCTATAAAAGATGAAACACTTAATTGTGTAGCACAACAAATAATAGAGCATTTTGATCAAGCAAAAAGAGAGTATGAATTTACAGAAACTTGCTGGCAAAAAATTGATATATGGGAAAAAAAAATGCGCATTCCTGGTACTCGAGTACAAGATGTAGCAGAATTGGAAAAAATTCTTAAATGACCAATTAAATTGCTTGATATAACCCATGGCACTATCTTTAATAGCAAAAAATATCGATCAGGTAAGTATAAAGAAATAGAGATAGTAGTTCATAATAGTCATGCATTTCTGAGAAACCAGCATTTTCTAAGAGACTGAATGATTAAATATTATAAGAACAATACTTGGAAAGCTATTAACAATGCTCTTCAAGGACCTCAGGCCATTTGGCTTATAGGAGTAGGGGATAGAAACCAAACAATATTGCAATTTGTTTTAGAAGATGGTCACATATTCAGAACATAAAAAAAGCATACAGATATCATAAATGCATATAAGGAATTATTTAAAGATGCAGTAGACTGGCAATTTCGGAAAGAAATAATTAGTGAAGAAAGAAAGCAGGAGTCTCTAGAATCACTTAAAGTAGTTGACTTAGCAGAACAGGTATTTGGAACAAACCATGCTGGAAGTCGATTGGCCAATGAGATTAATAAATGATATTTCACTCTGATAAGTGTACATGAATACATGAAGCAATCTTGTGTTGAACATGAGCATGGAGGATGTTGAAATGCACCTGATTATTGTGTTCAAGTGTTGTATATATAGATATGAAATCTTGTTATCCAGTTAGTATGTGTGGTCAAGAAGAGTGTTCACCATAGTTCGAATGATTTGGACACTCAACACATCATCTTGTTCAAGTAGCAGTAAATAGAGAATTATCAAAAGATGATATAACTGAATTTGCATAGGTAAGAACTTTTAAATTTGTTTCTAATATTTATTCAGTAATTCCTGTTTGGTATGAAAAGCACTTTGCTTGCTGAAATGGAGAAGGATGTGAGAAGACAAAAGGCTAGACACCTATTGTACTTTTATAATATCTTCTTGAAGCAGGTATTCTAGAAAGTGTAACTATAGAAGAAGCAATTATTTCACTTACCAAGCAAACAAAGGTATGGTTGCCTAAAAATCAAGATATAAGTTGTGCAATCATAGGGAAGTTCATACAGGAAAATAAAGTTGAAAAAAAATGACTTACTCATCGAGTCATAACAGATGAAGGTGAACTTGATTTCTTAATCCAGAATTGTATTAAAGAGAAAACATATGCTAGTAGAGAGAAATGTCCACTCAGTTTTATACTTATATACTATGAGAGTCATCAACCTCAATATACTTATTTACAGACTTCAATGTTAGCATATGCACATATTAATTTGTTAGAGATGCTTCAGAGATTTAATCCTAATAAAGTAGTAAGAATTGCTACAGATTCTATATATGTATAAAAAAATGCTTTATATAAGATTGAAAATATATCAGCATTCTTCAAACAAGTTGAAGTAAAGTCAGATCCAAATTTATGTTCATATTATCTTTCTTGTACAATGTGTAGTGATTTAGTAAAATTCTTTATTTCAAAATTAGAATATGCAAAATGGATTAAAAAGTTTCTAAAAACTAAAACGCCTCTAGCAAAATATAATTGCAAAAGGCATAAACTATTTATTTGCAGATTTTGCTTTGGGAAATAGTTTTATAGTGGAGCTAGTGCCAAGACACATAGATCAGACTCATATGCTCTTTTACATCAACCAGAAGAACAAAAAATTCGAGAAATTCAACCTGGTCAATGGTGTGATAAGGGCAAAAAAATATATGGTCCAAATTTAAATATTATATACTGGCCAATAGGGATGTTAATGGAGGCTTCAGGGTGATATGATGCATACTCTGGCAGAGTATCTCTTAATACTACACCATGCTAAAGTATGAATTAGAGCATACTCCAAAGCATAACCTGGAGTATAACCTGGGGTATAGCCCAGAGTACTATGTGCTAAGCACTATGTAATACTCCAGAGTTTATAATAATACTTCCATATGATTGGTTGATTTAACTCAATTATCTGAACTAAATTTTTATCATTATTCTTAAAACATCTTATAAAGAAAATAGTCAAATAAATCTTCTGCCAATTCAATTTTAATATAATATGTTTTTTTGTTTATAATATATCTTAATGAAGTTTAAATTTTAGTAGTTTCTAAATAATAACTGGCTAAAAAGGATCGAAACTGCATAATGCATTTGGGCTAGTCTAAATTTATAGTAGAGTTATTGAACTTTATTAAGCAGTGTTAGAAAAATAAAATTAGCATAATAGGAATAATTATTTCACCAGTGCTTTGGGCTCTTATTGTGACTATATTGTATTTTTTGTATTCAAAAAAAATAAAGTCTGCTAATATTTTGGGCTTTATATTTGCATATATATGGTATTTATAAGTTAAATTTCACTTATATAATCTTGCATGTGTATTCTGATAAAAAATAAAATACTATTATGAAAATTTTTTGATATCTTTCAGATGAGAATATTTTATATTTTTATATAATAAAGCTGGCCCTGGTGGCTAATTTTATATACATAATTATGGTTACTTTTGTATATGTATTTATTTTAATGTATTGATAATGATATATATTAATCTGTATAAAAGTATTTTTCTTTGTGTTTTACGTTTGTTGAATTAAATTCAATGATATTAATAAAAATTTTTTATTGACAAAAAACTGTGATCGTTAGTCATAATCAGCCTAATTTTTTACTTGACTGTTTCTATATACAATATACTAACGAGCTTTTGAATATTTTTGTTCTTGTATATAATTTATCAAACATGTCAAACACTCAATCCAACGATTTATTAAGAGAATTAAATGCCAAGCTCTTAGCTAAGATTGCAGAACTTAGGAAGGAGAATGCTAAGATCAAGACTGAGAATACAAAATTAAAACAAAATAAAGAAGACATTGAAGTCAGATTCACAAAACTAGAGCAGAGTGATAAAGAAAAAACTAATTTTATTATTAAACTGAAATAGGATGTTTTACAAATTAAACAGGCTTCAGTAACTTCACAATTACTTATTTTACTGTCAATTAAAAATCATTCTGGTAAAGATGATAGTACTAACTTTGTAAATCTAGAGCAGACACAAAGTGCTATTTCTCCTAAAGTTAATTCTAATAATATTTCTGAACAGACGGATGATATGTCTAAAAATACATCAAATTCTGATGTATGCCAATCTATCTATACAAAGCCTAATTTGTCAGAAGATAAAGAGAAGAATGATTTTCTAAATCGAATAGAAAAGGAAAGAGTTAGTAATATGATAAGAGAGAGAAATCAGAAGAAGCTTCAGAAGAAGCATAGCCTTGAGTTAAAAACTCATCAAAATCCAAACTTATCTTTAGATAATCAAAATGCTTCCTCAACAGAATTAAAAAAGCCGATATCACTTTCATTACTATGTAATGCAAATACTGTGACTAATGGTCATAATCGAGAAGAGATTATATTATCACCATTATCATCTGATGCAAAAACCATGACTAATGGTCATGATCAAAATAATGTTTATGTAAACTCTGTTAATATCTCTGAAGTATTCAAATTAGATGATCAAATAGTAGAAAATTTAATACAAAAGATGTTCCATGATCATATACAGAGTGTCATTTCTTTCAAAAATGATTTCACATCTTTAGATATCAGTGAACCTAATGAAATTAGCAAGTCTTATATACAAAATATAATTCCAGGTTTTGTGCAAAGTCTCTCATATTTGTTTGATAAAGCAGTTAAAAAAGATCAAAAAAAGATTCTATGCTGGTATTACTATTCACTTAAATTTGAAAATAAGGTTAAAAGCCTTACGACTGATAGCAAGATTACAGATAAAATAGCAAGAACAAAAATATATAAGGAAATAAAATCTTTTCTACCTAATATTACAGATGTAAATTTATATAAAAAAACACAAAGAGCTCAAAAAATTCTTACACTGTTTGGAAGAGAAGGAGTAGGTATAGCTAAAATTAAACAAATTTCATATAATGCTTGTACTATTTCAGGATTGACAAATGCTTAAATTCAATATATTATTAATCATGTGACTTCAAAAAATGTGACTAATGGTCATGATCAAATCTTGATATTTGAAGTATATAATTTGTCATCTCAGGCCACTAATTCTTTTAGCTCAAAAAAGTTATCAGAAATCAAGATAAGTATCTCATCTGCATCTCAACACAAGGATCCAACATCTATTTTTGTAATAAAATACTAGAACAGTATCTTAATTTATATAAAGATGATAATAGTGAAAATGTAGATTATTATGGAATTACTGATGAGACATTATGTTCTTTATGCAAATTAAAACATAACGATAAAGACATAGAAGATAGATATGAAATTGGATCTTATTATGTTAAATGTGAATAGCATGGAATTGAAATTGAGGTAATAGCATAAATTTTAAGTATCAATGATACTAGCTTCACTATCTTATACTAATACAATTTGCTTAAGTCTTTAAAATGTCTCTCTGAGGCATGTTTATTTTTTGTTAGGTATTGTTAATTTAAAGAGATGTGCAATCATATAAAACAGAAACATGAATACACAGGCCAATAAAACATTAACTTACAAATATTTGGAATGGCATAATAAATTTACTAGATTACCAAATGTTTTAACAGATAAAATTTGTTTCAAGTTATATAAGAGATACAAGAAAGAAATCAGTCTTGACTCTTGGATAAATTCTAAACTTTTTAGATCTTCCCAAATCGAAGAAGATACAGATAATTATATAAGTTATGACTGTATTATCAAAATTTTCAAGTTTCTGAAAGAGAAAGGTATAATCTATAAAATAGTACATAAATGCTTCTCTTTCTTGTTATATACTAAATCGAATGCATGGTACTGAGATGTATTTAAATATACTGATTCAGAAGCTAAATGCTCAGTATACAAAAAGATACATACACATCAAAGTATATGGGGCAATTGGAGCTGTCTTGGTAAAAATGATCACTATTTTCTTAATTGCCCTTTTCGTATTGATCAAAAAAAAGTTATAATTGCTATACAGAGTATACCAGAAATTCAAGTAAGTATACTAAACAAAATCTGCCTTTATCAGTCAGAGGCAAGCTTACACCAATATGCCATTGAGTATAAAATAGATTCCAAAAAATTTTCAGTTATTACAGAAGCTAAGAAAAATAGGTGGACCATAAGATGTTTTCGTAGAGATTTGAAAAGAGACATACACTTTTATTATGGTGGAATAGAAAGTAAAAATGACCCTAAAAAATATCATGAATTTTTAACAGATCAGAAGAGGCTGGTCAGTGAAGAGTTATTATGTCATAGTATGGTAAAGAGCAGTTTAAGTACTGCATAGCTCGATAATCTTATAGAAGAATGAGAAAAAACTTATAATCAATTCGTACAAATTTTTAGCCAGTTCTAGCCAAAAAATAAATCATATTTTGCTGTTATATTATGATTTCAATTATGGAAATAAAAGTAAGTTCATAAAATCTTTGTTTCATAACACATCACAGTTATATCTCTATTTATATACATTTAAATTTCAACTAATTTTTCTGCCCATTCATACAATCATGTTAAAATAAAAAAAGATGAGGCCACGGGACCTCTACTTTATTATTATAAAAAATAATATTGCCAGAACAATATACAAATAAGAAAAATTTTTAAATAAAATTTTTAAATATTTCCAGCACTAGCATTTTCTTGAAAGCCAGATCCCTCAGATTTATTGAATAATTCTAATAGTATCCCCCTTACTGTATGCTAGTATAAATGTCCTTGGTTTGCAAGAATACTATCAAGATTAATTGGTAGATTATTCATGCTAACTATTAAATGTTGACCTGTTCCTTTTCTTTGGTCTTGTCTAATTTTTTTTTGAATTGACCTATGATTATACAAAGCAACAAAAAATAAAAAAATAATATATATGAAAAATAACCAGAGAATTATCCAACTTACAATGTTTTAGTGAATTTTCTACTTCTTAGTATACTGTTGTCAAAATGTTTATTATCTCTATCATAAATAGCGAGATAAATGTCATCCAACCCTACTATAAAGTATTATTACTTAATCATGTTTTTATTAATAAAGTTAATGTAAGAATTTATTTACTGAGTTTAACTGAAAGTTCTTTTTTCTTTGCAGACATTTTTTTCAAAAAAATATATATGCAAAAATAACGTTATTGTTTACTCACCTTAAAAGCTGAAACTGCTTATTTTTATACTATTTATTCGCTAGATCTAAAAAACCTGTTAAAAGAGAAATTATATGATTAGTAATTACATTACCTTAATACTATCTAGATCCTGCTACATAAAGCAACTCCACTCAGTCATAGGTTCAAACACTGAATGCATTTTGCCATTTTTCTGGTGAAATTAAACCTCTTAGATTTAACGATCACTTAAGGAAGGTTTAGATCTGATGATCTCGGGAGATGGCAGAGATTCGAAGTTCTTGTAACATATGAATTTGGATAAAACTACTAATAAAGAACATTATACTTATTACCTTTATAGCCTTTTTAAGTTCTATTCTTATTGCAGAATTATATGTTGTATAATAAGAAAATGCTCTAGATATAAATTCATAATATTTATTATTAATAAAAAAATCGATCATGCAAAATGATTCTGCTAGAAAATAATACAAACCAGATGCTGATTTCGTAATCTGTATTACCATTATGAACTTTATTTTTTTGTGTAATCTAATCCATTATCATCTGCTATCTCAGCCAATTATTAGCTAATTATTTTCTACCATCAGGAGTATATAACTAATTATAGTAATTGATTAATATATATCATTTTTTTTATATAATACATATAATATAGTGCATATGTTTGTTTACTGTATTATTGTTATTATTTATACAAACTTATTAAAAATAGAGAAATAGTCCCAAAACAGAATAATAATAATATATACATATTTTAAATTCAAAGATCTGGATTATTTTAAAGCAATTTCATGTCAAATTATCATAATGCCAAATGCAATTAATTATTAGATAACCCGTTATGATTATTATAGCCACATACATATAAAATAGATCTAATTTCCAATTTGTAACGAAAATCTATAAGCTAATATTCTATCTTTAATATTATAGTCTTCTTAGATGCAGTCATCACCTTTAATGGCAGGTCCAGAATCCAACTGTTATCTCTCTGAAGTTTATATTTTCACTTTTCATTTGCTATTAAGGGTGCAATCATCATTCTTTTACATGAAGTGTATGCAAGAAGAGGAAGGTCCAACAGACTTCTTAGGTTTTAAACCACCAGGCTACACTATATGAATGATATGAATGTATCCATCTTACTCTTTGTTCTTATACTTCTTAGAAATCAAGCAAAAAATTTCATCTCTAATATTAAGTAATAGGGTTTCTGACTATGTGTATTGTGAGATTGAACATGCTTATAATTACCATTTGATAGCCCATTACTTTGGCAAAAGTGCTCATTTGTTCTACAAAAAATATGCAAACTATTTATCTTTTATAAAATAGTCTTCTCAGGTGTAGTTATAGCCTTTCAAGGCAGACCTAGAATCCAACTATTACCTTCCTGCAATTTATTTTTTTCTATGTTTATAAAAACCCAATTTTAGAGGGTGTGATCGTCAACTATAATTGTCTTGTTGTAAGGAGAGGAAGACTGAACAAGCTTTCTGTGGTTAGTCTATTAAACTACAAAATAAGAAATAGTTTGAATGTATTCACCTCAAAATTTATATAAGTATATAATCTATTGCGATATTATTATTTACAATCTAATCTAAAAATTTTATAATATGCAGATGAATTGGATAAATAATACAGTTTTATTTTCTTGCACCAGATTTCATTGTGTTGATAGATCGACCACTCAGGTTACTTGTTATGAGTATATATAGATATGCAAAAAATTTCGCTTGAGTCTTCACCTCTTGACGATAGGGCCTCTAACTATATGTGTTGTGTATTCGAAAGGCCATAAATATCATTACTGGTGGCTTAGTAATTTGGCTTAGGTGGTTTGTTCAGTTCACAAAAATAATCAATTAGATGATTTGATTGGACTGCATAAAATATGATTTAATCTCATTTTTTATTTTCTCTGAGTTGAATTCACTCTTATTATAACAATTGGTGCAAGTAATCTTTCTACTATATGTAACAACAAATTTTTTTCAGATGAGTTCATATATTGAGATATTTTTCATATAATTCTACTATTATATATTATTAAGACTTTATTTCAAATGCACAAAAAATGAATTGTGATATTCATTAGTATATAGTGTTACAGGGTTGTAGCCTTCTTGATATAATACAACCAAGTAACAAGGTCATCTGGTATAGTGATTGACTATTGCAAATATATATGGGGTAAAGGTGTAGTAGTTCACTTTACTACACAGCAGCAGGCAAACAGTTCAAGATAGTAACAGTATATAGATTAGCTTTTTATTAAATAAACACACAG